TGATAAGGGATTAACATCCAAAATATATAAAGAAGTCATACAACTCAATAGCAAAAAAACAAACCACCTGATTAAAAATTCAGCAGAGGAACTGAATAAACATTTTTCCAAAGAAGACATACAAGCGCCCAACAGGTACATGAAAAGGTGTTCCACATCACTAATCATCAAGGAAATGCAAATCAAAACCACAATGAGATATCACTTCACACCTGTTAGATTGGCTATCATCAAAAAGACAAGAGATAAGTGTTAGCAAGGATGTGGAGAAAAAGGAACCCTTTTGCAGTTGGTGGGAATGTAAACTGGTACAACCACTACGGAAAACAGTATGGACGTTCCTCAAAAAATTAAAAATAGAACTACCATACGATCCAGAAATCCCACGGCAGGATATATATCCAAAGGAAATTAAAACAAGATCTCAAAGAGATATCTGCATTCCCATGTTCACTGCAACATTATTCACAATAGTCAAGATACAGGAACAACCCACATGTCCATCAACAGATGAGTAGATAAAAGAACATGTGATACACACACACACAGGAATATTATTCAGCCATGAGACATAAAGAAATCCTGCTATTTGTGAAAAAAAATGGATAAACCTGGAGGACATTAGGCTAAGTGAAATTTATCAGACAGAAAAAGACAAATACTGCATGATATCACTTATATGTGGAATCTACAACAGCCAAACTGACACAGAGAGTAGAGTAGTGGTTACCATTGGCTGGAGGGGGTTGGGGAAATGGGAGATGCTGGTCAGAGGGTACAAAGTTCCAGTTATAAGATAAATAAGTTCTGGGAATCGAAGGTACAGCTTGGTGATTATAGTTAATACTACTGTATTATATACTTGAAAGTTGCTAAGAGAATAAATCTTAAACGATCTCACCACAAAAAAGAAATGGTAATTATGTGACGTAATGGAGGTGTCAGCTAATGCTATGGTAGTAATTATTTTGCAGTATATAAGTGTATCAAATCAACATGTTGAACATCTTAAACTTACACAATGTTGTATGCCAATTATATCTCAATAAAGCTGGAAACAAAAGTTTATCCCTAAGTAATTATTTTTTGATGCTATTATAAATGAGATTGTTCTCTTAAAACCCTTTTCAGATAGTTCTTTGTTAGTATATAGAAATGCAAGTGATTCTTGAGTGTTGATTTTGTATGCTGCAACTTGACTGAATTCGTTGATTAGTTCTAAGTTTTTTAGTGGAGTCATTAGGGTTCACTATATATAAAACCGTATATCATCCACAAAAAGACAATTTTACTTCTTCTTTTCCCATCTGGATGCCTTTTATTTCTTTTTCTTGCCTAATTTCTCTGGCTAGGACTTCTAGTACTATGTTGAAGAGAAGTGTGCAGAGTGGGTATCCTTGTCTTGTTCCTGATCTCAGAGGACAAGCTTTGATTTTCACCATTGAGTATGATCTTAGCTGTGGGTTTGTCATAGATGGCCTTAACTATGTTGAGGTACATTCCTTTTATACCTAGTTTTTTTAGCGTTTTTATCATAAAAGTGTGTTGAACTTTGTTCAAATGTTTTTTCTGCATTTACTGAGATGATCATGAGATTTTTATCCTTTGTTCTGATAATGTAGTGTATTATATTGACTAATTTTAGTATGTTGAACCATCCTTGCATCCCAAGGATAATTCACACTTGATTATGATGTATGATCCTCTTAATGTGCTCTTGGATTCAGTGTGCTGGGATTTCATTGAGGATTTTTACATCTATGTTCATCAGAAATATTGAACTGTAGGTTTCTTTTCTTGTAGTGTCTGTCTGTCTTTAGTATCAGAGTAATGCTGGCCTCATTGAGTGAATTTAGAAGTGTTTTCTCCTCTTCAATTTTTCGGAAGATTTTGAGAAGGATTGGCGTTAATTCTTTTTAAATGTTTGGTAGAATTCACCTGTGAAGTCATGTGGTCCTGGATTTTCCTTTGTTGGGAGGTTTATGATTCAATCCCCTTACTCGTTACTGGTGTGTTCAGATTTTCTATTTCTTTATGACTCAGTCTTTGTAGGTTAGTATGTTTCTAGGAATTTCTGATAGGTTATCCAATTTGTTGGCATATAATTGTTTATAGTAGTCTCTTATGATCCTTTTATTTCTGTGGCATCAGTTGTAATGTCTCCTCTTTCATTTCTTATTTATTTGAGTCTTCTCTTTTTGTTGGTCAGTCTAGCTAAAAGTTTGTCAACTTTATGTTTAAAACACCAACTCTTAGTTTCATTGATTTTTTTTTCTATTGTTTTTCTAGTCTCCATTTCATCTATTTTTGCTCTAATCTTTATTATTTCTTTCCTTCTGCTAACTTATATGTTGAAATTGAACAACACACTCCTGAACAACCAAATGGGTCAAAGAAGAAATCAAAAGGGAAATCAGAAATTATCTGGAGAAATGAAAATAAAAACACAACATACCAAAACATATGGGATGCAGCAAAAGCAGTACTAAGAGAGAAGTTTATAGCAATAAATGCCTACATTAAAAAGGAGGAAGGATCGCAAATAAACAATCTATAACTTTACACCTCAAGGAACTAGAAAAAGAACAAACTAACGATATTCTGGTTTCTCAGTATTTGTTCCTTAATACTCTTTCATGTTTCTGGTTTTGCATGTTGTATTCCCACTTTCTAGATCAGCACTGTCCAAAAGAAATAGAACGTGAGCCAGAAATGCAAGCTATATATGTAATTTAAAATTTTCCCGTAGTCACATTTTCAAAAAGACACAGATGGGGGCCGGCCCAGTGGCGCAAGCGGTTAAGTGCACGCACTCCGCTGCAGCGGCCTGGGATTCGCTGGTTCGGATCCCAGGCGTGCATCGACGCATCGCTTGGCAAGCCATGCTGTGGCGGCGTCCCATATAAAGTGGAGGAAGATGGGCATGGATGTTAGCCCACGGCCAGTCTTCCTCAGCAAAAAGAGGAGCTTAGGGCGGATCTTCCTCACACACACACAAAAAAAAGACAAATTAATTTTATATTTTTTAACCAAATATATCTAAAATATTATCATTTCAACATATAATCAATCTTTTTAAATTACTGAGATATTTTATATTTTTTTGTATTAAGTCTTTGAACTCAGCATGTATTTTATACTTATATCACAACTCTATTCGAACTAGCTGTGTTTCAAATGCTCAACAGTCACATATGCCTAATGGCTACTGTACCGTGCAGGTCTAGATTTTCTTCCCCAAGCCTCTCTAGTAAATGCTATGTACTCACTGAATGAATGTTCAACCACACCTAACCTCTTACACTCTGTAGCAGTTACTCATCACCTCACCCTACACACAGCTATAATTCATTTATTTATTTATTCAACAGACACTGTTTCATCTTCAAGTGCAATTCATGAGATTTCTCTAAACTGGCTTTCCTGTTCTGAGTTCCAACAGTGTTCTCTGCTCCCTGCACCACCACATTACCATTCCAATAGCACGTATCTCTCATACACTGGAGTCAGGGCAGGGGGAAGGGCAGGAGTATTCTAAAGTGATCTCATGGTGTGAAAAATCTCATTTAATCTAAAATTACCCTTGAAAATCTCTTAAATAGGCCTCCCACAAGAAAAACAGTACATATGACCTTGTCTGTACACAGCCCTGTGAAGTCTCATAAGAACTGAGAATAACCACAAGAATAACGTGTTTACGTATCCCATCTCATACCCACTTCACTTCAAGAGCTCATTTAGTAGAATGGCAGGTGAATTTGCTAGTGCTGCTGGAACCCCCCGAAATAACATACAGTAGTCCATTCTTATCCATATGTGATACATTCCAAGACACCCAGTAGAGGCCTAAAACCACAAATAGTACGAAACCCTATATATATACACACTATGCTTTTTCCTATGCATACATACTTATGATAAGGTTTAATTTATACATTAGGCACAGTGAGAGATTAACAACAATAACTAATAAAAAGTAGAACAATTATAACAATAGACTGTAATAAAAGTTACATGAATGTGGTCTCTCTCAAAATATCTTATTGTACCGTACTTACCCTTTGTCTTCTTGTGATGATGTGAGATAAAATGCCTACATGATGACGTGAAGTGAGGTGAATGATGCAAGCATTGTGACGTAGCATTGGGCTACTATCAACCTTCTGACTGTATGTCAGATCCCCCGGTTGACTGAGAGGAACTGAAACCATGGAGAGTGAAACCATGGATAAGGGAGGACTACTGTGATAGCATTCATATAACTCAAACACCTATATGATGTAACTATCATTACTCCTGCCTCCTCCATTTATCATGGCAAACTCTCTACCTCAAATGTTCTATTCTTCTTTTACAGAAGTTTTAACTATTCTATCCTTTAAGGACTTAACTATCCACTACCTCAGGCTGAAAGGCAGCACATAGTGTAAAAACAGCATGAGTTGCAGATTCTAGTTTTGTTACGACCTATGATGCTTTTAGCAACCTTTTGAATGAGAAATATTATCTATATGCAGTCCTCATAGTTGTGAAGATTCAATGAGAAATTAAACTTAAGAGCACAGAACAGTATTAATTCCATTCCCTTTACCCACTTCTTCCAATAAGTCTTTAAAAATCTTTCTTTTGCGGGGCCAACCTGGTGGTGTAGTGGTTAAATTTGCACACTCTGCTTTGGCGGCCAGGGGTTCACAGGTTCGGATCCCAGGCTCGGACCGCTCATCAAGCCATGCTGTGACGGTGTCCCATATACAAAAGAAAGGAAGACTGGCACTAATGTTAGCTCAGAGCCAATCTTCCTCAAGCAAAAAGAGGAATATTGGCAACAGATCTTAGCTCAGGACCAATCCTCATCACCAAAAAAAAAAATCCCTTTGATTCAGAGATCATTTTTTAACTAATGAGGAAAATCAGTATTTTTAGGTCACGTCTCAAACAGTTCTCAATGAAAATTACATATGTCAGGAAAAAGTGTCAAATCAAAATTAACCACGCACATTCTCATTCCCTGCACAAATTTGGGTGGAAATTTTTGTCTAAGGTCTAGGAGTAAAGTATCCACATGTTGTCTCTGGAAAATAGAGCTTGGTTCTTCTTTCCTTTTGGCTTTAGGTTTGACTTTATCTATTAAAATATGAAGTCCAAATTGAAACATTGCCTAATTAGTTTGGTGTCTTATATTTTTAAAAATCTTTTCCCACCATGAATATACTCAAACTTCATTATTTTTAATGGCTGCTATTCCAAGAATTATCCCCCAATATAAGTTACACATAACATAGACACAGAAGTGTTCTAACTCTCCCTCTGAAATGAAGTTAAGATTCTAGCATTTAAAAAGCTGATATGTCTTTAAGATACTTCAGTTTTAGTATGTAAACATAAACAGACATAAGAATTTTAAAGCTAAAGTTTTCCACAAGTCATAATCCAGATTATTGGTCTGACATTATCTTGTGTATAATTTAAGTGTATTAAATGGTCTTTTCCCACACAGCTTAATAGGTGCAAATGGAAAATGCAACTTTCACAAGCTCAAGTTATCATACTCAGTTATGAAGACTATAACCCACTGGAAAAATAGGACCAACCAAACAACAGAAGATCATGAAGACAAGAAGAAAAGAACTTGCAAGAGAAATTCTGAGGCTAATCATATGTGGAATTTTCTCTGGGAAGGGAGTCTATCGGGGAACTGTCCCTACATGAAGAGTTCCAGGTAAGCGTTGCTCCAAACACTTCATTAAGGTAGGGGCAAACAGCCCTTGGGAGAAGTTTATTCAACAGATGCAAACTTTCCTACGTCAAATGTTGTGGCCTGCACCTACTATCAAGAATATATAGAGCTGTATCTGAAAGACCATTCATTCCATGAATGAGTTCTATTTAAAAGCTACGTTTCCCTCAGTGATTTATTCTGAGTTGCTATTTCTCAAAGCAGGAAATGTAGGATATAGGTATAATGCTACAGAAAGATTTCTAGAAGTACTTTCATTGGTAAAATATGGTGCAGAACAAGTAGCAGATTAGCAGCTATGAAACTAGGGAACCTGGCGTCACAACAGGTGATAACGTGGAAAGATCAGAAAACAGACTGGTCATCTGGAGAGAGGGCTCTAAGAGCATCTCCCCTACTCTGAAGACTGAGGGGATTTGGGTTCCAGATTTCAAGATGACTCAACAGTCAGGTAAGCAGGGAATATCATCATTACTCATTCCTCATCACCAATTTCCTCTGTATGTTCCAAATATTTTAAAACCTTGAATCAACTTATTACTAGTTACCTAACAGATTAAAATTTATATCTGTTCCCATGGGAAAGCTATTATTACCACATCCAGTTACATGAATCATGGCTGTGACAATGTCATCATCCTATGAGAAGTCTTCCTACGGAAAAGTAAAACGCACCTAGAAATTATCAATAGCCATTTTCCTAAAGAAAACAGCTTCATCCTCAGAGTGCCAAAAAGAGTTTTAGGAGGGTCTAGGTGTCCTACCTACCTTGCTCTTCATGATCTTTGAAGTGCCACCAATACCCTTTGGAAGGATGATATCGACAGTATGACATAGCTTCATTGAAAGCTGACTGAATGCCATGCACTGCAGTAAGCTTGCAAAAAGAAAATCAACTCTGAATTTCTTATTAGGCCAACCAAAATTTCCAAAGTAAATACTCACAAAATATTACCTATACAAAGACAGTAATTTTCTGTTTTTCAGAAACCAAATCACTATATAGCTGGGGCTGTGGTATATACTTTTAACATGGAGTTGGCCCACAGTAACCAATGCTCAAGACATGCTACTAGTCAACACTTTATACCAACTTACACGAGAGAGGAGCTCCTGTTTAATTCTTTTTTTTTTTTTTTGTGAGGAAGATCAGCCCTGAGCTAACATCCATGCTAATCCTCCTCTTTTCTTGCTGAGGAAGACCGGCATTGAGCTAACATCTATTGCCAATCCTCCTCCTTTTTTTTCCCCAAAGCCCCAGTAGATAGTTGTATGTCATAGTTGCACGTCCTTCTAGTTGCTGTGTGTGGGATGTGGCCTCAGCATGGCCGGAGAAGCGGTGCATCGGTGCGCGCCCGGGATCCAAACCTGAGCTGCCAGTAGCAGAGCCCGCGCACTTCACCACTAAGCCACGGGGCCGGCCCTAATTCTTAGAAGCAAGGTAGCTCAATTAAAAGTTTTATTTAGTGTTTAAAGAATGTAAAGACCCTTACCACTCTAGAGTTTATAACAGATCCCGAGTCTGGTGCCTGATAGATCACTCCAGCAATGATATAGTAATCAGCCAGTGGGATAACTAAAGCAGCGCAAGAAAAAAAAAGTTTATGAATACAGCTTTGCACACAAACTGCCACGTAGATTTCCATAAAAAGAACAACCACCTCTTTAGATACCTTATCACCAAATATGGTTACATTCTGAGGTACTGGGGAAAAGAAAATGATGAGATTAGAGTTGTCAATATTTAGCTCAAGAACCTGGTACAAATATAAATGTGTGTAGGTAGCTATATCAATATCTATATACATATCTCTCTTTATTTCTTTTGACAAACAAGTGAAATTCTATTGCACATAGTAGTTTATGACTTTTTTTATTTGCTTGGTTTTGTTCTAATAATAATACAACACAAGGACATTTATTCAGTCATAAAAAAGTTTTCTATGAACAGTTGAAAATGAAATAAATAGACAAAAATAATATGAAAGATACTCAGACTGACCAATTAAAATAATGAGATATCAATTTTTGACCATGAGTTTGACGAAAGTTCAAAAACTTTTCTAATTATTCATCACTCAGTAGATCAATGAAAACCTATTTCTAAAATTTCACTAAGCTCATTAATAAAATCTATGGTATTGATTAAGGTAAAGATAGCTAAAAGACTGGTAGTAATCATTTCTAGAGTATGGGCTTTCAATTCAGTCCTAGCCAGTCATCACTGGAGTTGGTACTTCTCATTAAGGCAACTAAGTGTATATGCTAAACTATAGTGAAATAAATCACAGACAGCATAACAAAGTTTAGGGTAGGAGTGAAACAGTTTATAGTAAATATAAAACAGAATTCAGAAGGACTAAAATGAAAAGTAAAAGTTTCCTTTTCTCCTAGCTTTATCAGTCCCACTCCCCAAGGGAAACCATTGTTAAATGTTTTCTATTTAAGTGTCTAGAAATTCTCAGTACAAAATTCAGGGCCTAGTCATGAAAACGAAAACCTTACTAACATTTCAAACTATGTGGATTTACTTGATACAGGAAATTACCCACCCAGGGCTCACAGCCAGCTCATGGTGGTACTTCTGAGGTGGGACAGCACTGCTGCTGATGGGATCACCCAAACAAGGTGGAAGTTGGAGCCAGAGCTGTGTTTGGTTGCTAGAGAGAAATGCCAACAGAAACTACAAACAGCAAGGAAATCCCTTTTCCCAATTTCCAAACTCACGCTGGTGTCTCCAGTTGGCAAAACCTAGCCAGAAGGCAGCTATCAAGGGAATCTGGGAAATGTAGTTTGCAGAGTCCCAGTTCCAGCATTAAAAAGCTGTAGGGAAGGGTAAGCCTGCTACTGTGACACAAATGAATAACTGGTAAAATATACACACACACACACATCCAAACACACTTTTTTTTTTACTGTATCACATTATAAATGGTAGGGGACCCAAATCATACTAGCACACTCTTACTCTCTGTATTCTTTCCAGTGGAGGAAACTTGAAGTGATCACTAGGTGAATCACAAATTGGTACCAATTTTGTTAATTTGAGCAAGTACCCCAAAACCTCCAACATTAGTGCTTCTCATAACACTGTCAGAAAATATAGCTTATACATGAGGCTGAAGATAGCTTGGTCTCTCTCACTCAAAATGTAGACTTTAGTAGCCTGCAGGTTTTCCTGGAGAGGTATGACTAATCCTATTTCTGCATGATGGGGACTACAACCTACCTCAGGGAGGATGGCCAAAGAAGATTAGAGAATAGCCAGACAGCTTGGCTTTCAATGCATTGGCCCATAAAGTTGATTCCAAAAGGGTCAAACCCTAACCCTTCAGATTAACTCTTATGTTCCTTAAGCAGGTGGTTGTGGGACTGAGAGAGTTGGAGCTTCCTGTGGATCAAGATGGATACATGGTGGGAAGTGTAAGAATATTATTTCCTCTACTATAATTATTTGCAACTTAATTTGTTTAACATTATATTTAGGCTATCTACTTTGATCTGTAGTAGTATAGTTCATATTATAGAGGTTTCATAAGATTTTAATTTTCTATTGATAGGTCTTTTGATTGTTGTAAGTTTTAGTCCCACAACAAACAATTCTAACCGAAAATTCAGAATCAGTATGAGTGTCTCAGGACAATAAAATTTCTAGAAGTGGACCTTCTGGGTCAAAGGGTAGGTACATATTAATTTGTGAAAAATATTACCAAGTTTTACTTCAAAGAGCTTGCCCAATCATCCTTCTACCAACATTATATAAGAATGTCTGTTTTCCATATTGGAATTATCATCACACCTTTGTATCCTTACTAAAATGATAGGTGGAAAATAATATTTTATTTGAATTTGAATTTTTCACTTATGAATGCTGTTGAGATTATTTTAATATATTTATTGGCTCTTTTTATTTGTTATCCTTTTTTGTTTCTCTGAAAAGTCTTGCCCTTTGCCCCTTTTTCTGTTTGGTTGTTTTCCTTTTTCCATATAGGTTTGAATTAGCTCTTACGGAGAAGTCGCAAGAATATTACACAGATCTTCCATATGCCTTTTACTCACTTCTCCAGTTTCTTATAATTTACCCCCATCACTTTATCCTCTCTCTCTCACTCTTGCTCTTGCTTTCTTGGTATGTGAGTGTATGTGTGTGTATATATATAAATGTATATGTATTAATATATATTAATAGAAAGAAGATAGGAAGAAAGAAAGGAAGGGAAGGAGTAATGGAGGGAGGAAGATTGATAGATAGATGATAGATAGATAGATAGATAGATAGATAGATAGATAGATAGATAGATAGATAGAAGGATAGATAGAAAGATAGATGGGGACAGATATAGACATGAAAAGGTATACATAAGTACAGTATAGTTATCAAAATCAGAATTTTTAATATTGATACAATACTGTTGTCTAATTCACAGACATATTCATCAACTGTTCCCTAAATGCCCTTTATATCTTATTTTTCCTGTCCAAATACTAACCAAGAAACATACACTCCATTCAGTTGCCATGTCTCTTTAATCTCCTTTAACCTGAAGCAGTTTCTTAGTCTTTCATGACAAGAATACAGAACAATTGTTTTGTAGAAAACCCATCTGAGTTAAGGTACTGCTTTATCTTTGGAAGCAGCACTACAAAAGTGATGTTATATTCACGTCAGTCCATATTATCAGTAGGAACAAGATGTTGGTCCTATTATTGGCTATGTTAACTTTGAACACTTACCATGTTCGTCCAATAGATGGCTCCACTGGAAAGTGACTTTCTCTTTACAATTAATAGGAAGTTTATTGAGAATTACTTTAAGACTATGTAATTATTCTTTTCCTCATCAAATGTTCACCCACTAATTTTAGCATTCATTGATTATCCTCCACTGAAAGAGTTGTTACGATGAAGATTGTCAAATGATGATTTTCTACCCGTAATTCCATCTACGTGTATTGTTTGGTATTCTACTGTAAGCAATGGCTTTCTACTTTCTCTTATTTCATTTATTTACTATATCAGTATGGACTCATGGATTTCTATATAATTAAATGATTTATAATCCATTGATCTCATTTATGTATTTTAATGCTAAATTGTCTTGGATTTGACCCATGGGAGCACCTTTAAGCTGGCATCTGTGTCCTTTCAACATATCTCCATCATTCTTCGAGCATTTCATTACTTTTTGACACCAAGTGTTTTAGGCTTATCTTGTATTTTACCTGTCCCAGTACTGGAATTATCAGTTTCTGCTGAGGATTCCTGGTTTCTTTGAGCAGATAGTGATATTTATAAAACAAGATCTGAGGACTAAGTGTGCTCATTGCTACTGCAGTATAATTGCTTCCAGTCCCTCTCAGAAGACTGAACTAGATAATACATTTATCTGTATCTATGTTTCTATAACTTTGTCTGTTGGGAGACAGTTCTCCGTGGATCTCTTACATTTCTGTACATCTTGTATGCAGAGGCACTGACAGATATTATTCCAGACTATCCTTTCAAGGATGTTTGTATAGTGGACAGACTTGGAAGATAAAATGTCACTCTCCAGAGAAGAGGGCAGGTTTGTTTACTGTCCAATATAATAAAGATAATGTCTTCCCCCAGGGTAAAAATTGGGCAGGTTTCCTAGCAGCCTACCATAAAAGATTTGGTTTCCCAAAGCTCAGAGTTCCTCAGCTGCGATGTAAAATCACTGTATGTGCAGTATCCCTAGCACCCGTCTGCATTGCCCCCATGAAATTTTGGAGTAAATTAAGTTGATAAGAGCATGAAACTCATGCTCCTTGCTGTGCCATGAGTAATAAAGTCCTTTGTCTGTGAACTAAGCATCTCATTATCTTCTGCCAGCTCCCATGAAACTGTGGCAGGCTAACTTGTTAGCTTGCATGTAGGTAAAATCTCAGACCTAACACATTTCTTGACAATTTTTGGTGACAAAGATGGGATGCTGACAGAGACATGGTTTTCTGGAATAGAAAGAACAAAGGCCCCCACAGGCCAGATTAGAGGATCCACTAGTGAATGCTCTTGCCCAAGTGGTGGACAAGAAGGGAGTAAGGGTTTACTTCTGTCCTACCTTTAATAAATGCTTAGAGGCTGGGCAGCAAGAGTTAGAGTTAAAACAAGTCCATCAGATGCTCCTTTGATTGTTGCTCATTCTCCTCCACAGTGGGATGGGGAAAGGATGTCATTATGACAATGGAGGCAGAAAGCTCTGCAGCCCCAGCTGAAATGCAGTGTGGCTGTAGCTGCATCCTACATCCTCAGAGCATTTAGGATGAAGATTTAGAGACAGGGTAGGCCCAAGCATTAGAAGTTAATTTGGTTGACCCATAAGCAGAGTGGGTCAGGATTTAGTGCAAGTGCCTCTGTCCTCTGATGTCCAAAGACTTCTGAATATAGATGATGTCTTGTTAGTTGGCAAATCAGAAGCCACATTCTCGTGGCTCTGACTATGATGTTATCACACCTACACCAGCAGGGCTGGCTGATAAACCCTGACAAGATCCAGGGGGCTTCTCATTAAGCAAAGTTATTTAGGATTCTGTGGGGGCGTTCACAAAACTCAATCCTTCTGGCAAA